CATATCTTTGCTAAATTTCAAGCAAATTGGAATAAATTATACACCATTAGAAAGAGCATTAAATTCTGTATAAATCTGTGCAAAATTGAATTTGATAGCTTAAATAGTTTTTGAGCAATTGAGCCTGGAAATTGACTTTTAGTCCAAATTTTGTCAAAAACTGCAAATTCAATTTGCTCAAAAACTATAAATCTGGGAATATTGTAAATTACAGGCCATTTGGAGCTTCATAAGAGCTACAAATGCTAAAAATTTTAATACAATTTGCTCAATGGTTACCGAACAATTGAGGTTTGAATATTTAGAAATCAGAATTCAAAGGGGGGTACGTCTAAGGGAGGTACCGTTATGAAAAACTCGATTTGCTCGTCAACATTAGGAGAAAACAGCCCTGATATCAATTCGAAATGGCTATTCAAGGCAGAAACAAAAATTTAAAAAAAAAAAATCTATTTTTGACTCGAGAAAATTTACAAAATCTTGACAAGGTTATGAACAATTGCCCATATCTTTGCTAAATTTCAAGCAAATTAAATTAATTATGCACCATTGGAAAGAGCATTAAATTCTGTATAAATCTGTGCGAAATTGAATTTGATAGCTCAAATATTTTTTGAGCAATTGAGCCTAAAAATTGACTTTTGGTCAAAATTTGTCAAAAATTTCAAATTCAATTTGCTAAAAACTTATAAATCTGAGAATATTGTAAATTACAGGCCATTTAGGGCCTGATAAGAGCTACAACTGGAATTGAGGTTTGAATATTTTGAAATCAGAATTCAAAGTGGGTACAGGGTATTTGATTATATTTGGCACCATACCTACAGCCTTTACTATTAAAGATAGAAAAAAATTTTAAATACAAAACTTGACAGTTTTTTTTCTATATTTTCTGATAACGTTATCAGAAAAAACAAAATCGCATCGGAAAATGAAGAAACGTAGACAACTTCGACTTTTTTAAATGGAACACCCTGTATATTTTGCGATAAAATGAAAGACCTTTTCTTCCTGATTACAAATATATATATATATATATGTTGATCACATTTGCATGGGCCATTTTGCCCATTTTTGACATATCTCAGCTTAAATTATAACTAAATTGCAAAGAAATTTTACAAAGATAGAGATCCTTATAGAACTTCTCTGCAAATTCTTTATAATTTAACATGAGATATGGCAACAATTGCTCACGCAAATGTTATCAATATAGGTGTATATATTTGGAATCAGAAAGAATAGATCTTTCATTTTATCGCAAAATATACAGGGTGGTTCATTAAAAAAAGACGAAGTTGCTTACGTTTCTCCATTTTTCGATGCGATTTTGTTTTTTCTGATAACGTTATCAGAAAATATAGAAAAAAACTGTCAAGTTTTATATTTAAAATTTTTTTCTATCTTAAATAGTAAGGCTGTAGGTATGGTGCCAAATATAATCAAATACCCTGTACATCTAAGGGGGGTACCCTTATGAAAAACTCGATTTGCTGGTCATAATGACTAAAAAACAGTCCTGACATCAATTCGAAATGGCTATTTAAGGCAAAAACAAAAATAAAAAGAAAATTCTATTTTTGGCTCGAAAAAGTTTTGAAAATCTTGACAGTCATGAACAATTGCCCCCATATCTTTGCTAAATTTCTAGCAAATTGAAATAAATTATACACCATTGAAAAGAGCATTAAATTCTCTATAAATTTGTGCAAAATTGAATTTGATAGCTCAAATAGTTTTTAAGCAATTGAGCCTGAAAATTGACTTTCAGTCCAAATTTTGTCAAAAACATCAAATTCAATTTGCTCAAAAACTATAAATCTGGGAATATTGTAAATTACAGGCCATTTGGAGCTTCATAAGAGCTATAAATGCTAAAAAATTTAATGCAATTTGCTCAATGGTTACTAAAGCAATTGAGGTTTGAATATTTAGAAATCAGAATTCAAAGGGGGTACATCTAAGAGAGGTACCCTTATGAAAAACTCGACTTGTTGGTCGAAATGAGTAGAAAACAGTCCTGACATCAATTCGAAATGGCTATTCAAGGCAGAAACAAAAATAAAAAGAAAATTCTATTTTTGGCTCGAGAAAATTTTCATAATCTTGACAGTCATGAACAATTGCCCCCATATCTTTGCTAAATTTCAAGCAAATTGGAATAAATTATACACCATTAGAAAGAGCATTAAATTCTGTATAAATCTGTGCAAAATTGAATTTGATAGCTTAAATAGTTTTTGAGCAATTGAGCCTGGAAATTGACTTTTAGTCCAAATTTTGTCAAAAACTGCAAATTCAATTTGCTCAAAAACTACAAATCTGGGAATATTATAAATTACAGGCCATTTGGAGCTTCATAAGAGCTACAAATGCTAAAAATTTAAATGCAATTTGCTCAATGGTTACCAAGCAATTGAGGTTTGAATATTTAGAAATCAGAATTCAAAGGGGGTACATCTAAGAGAGGTACCCTTATGAAAAACTCGACTTGTTGGTCGAAATGAGTAGAAAACAGTCCTGACATCAATTCGAAATGGCTATTCAAGGCAGAAACAAAAATAAAAAGAAAATTCTATTTTTGGCTCGAGAAAATTTTCATAATCTTGACAGTCATGAACAATTGCCCCCATATCTTTGCTAAATTTCAAGCAAATTGGAATAAATTATACACCATTAGAAAGAGCATTAAATTCTGTATAAATCTGTGCAAAATTGAATTTGATAGCTTAAATAGTTTTTGAGCAATTGAGCCTGGAAATTGACTTTTAGTCCAAATTTTGTCAAAAACTGCAAATTCAATTTGCTCAAAAACTATAAATCTGGGAATATTATAAATTACAGGCCATTTGGAGCTTCATAAGAGCTACAAATGCTAAAAATTTAAATGCAATTTGCTCAATGGTTACCCAGCAATTGTGGTTTGAATATTTAGAAATCAGAATTCAAAGGGGGTACGTCTAAGGGAGGTACCGTTATGAAAAACTCGATTTGCTCGTCAACATTAGGAGAAAACAGCCCTGATATCAATTCGAAATGGCTATTCAAGGCAGAAACAAAAATTTTAAAA